ACAAATAGCAGTTTGTAACAAGGTGTCAATCCATATCTGCCAAGTGACCCTATGTAGGGGGACCAGTCCCTATTCTGCTCTGTGTCAGTGTGTATCAGGGAACCTTAGGACAGGTGTCAATCCATATCTGCCAAGTGACCCGATGTAGGGGGAACAGTCCCTATTCTGCTCTGTGTCAGTGTGTATCAGGGATCCTTAGGACAGGTGTCAATCCATATCTGCCAAGTGACCCTATGTAGGGGGACCAGTCTCTATTCTGCTCTGTGTCCGTGTGCATCAGGGGCTCTGAGGACAGGTGTCAATCCATATGTCAAGGTGTCAATATGTCATATGTCAGGTGTCAATCCATATTCATTGTGATTTAGGAATGTTAGGTGATTTCTGCCCTTTATGGATTAAAACCAGACTCTGTATCAACTGTGTAATTTTCCATGGGAGTTTTGCCATGGATCCCCCTCCGGCATGCCACAGTCCAGGTGTTAGTCCCCTTGAAACAACTTTTCCATCCCTATTGTGGCCAGAAAGAGTCCCTGTATGTTTTAAAATTCGCCTCCCCATTGAAGTCAATGGCGTTTTGGGCGTTTCGCCGGTTCGCGAACATTTGCGGAAGTTCGCGTTCGCCGTTCGCGAACCGAAAATTTCGGGTTCGCGACATCACTAAACATCATTTTAAATGCTGCAACTCTGCCCAACCAGGACAGAAATGTGTCTTTCCATTTGTCCTTAGTGGACCAGATCTCAGAGGCTATTTTAGCGTAGTTCGCTTTTACTATATTGTCTAGGTTTTTGGTGAATTTGACACCCAAGTCAAAGTTGTGGCAAGTTTTAAGGTGGTGTGTGGTCAAGGTTGAAGGGCATGGCCTGGGTTTTAGTCGTGTTTAGCTTATAGTAGGAAATTTAGCTATATTCACCTGGGATTTCTGTGAGTGCTGGTAGGGAGGCTTTCGGGTCCGTGATGGTGAGGAGAACATCATCCGCGAAGAGGCTGAGTTTGTGCTCTGTCTTCCCTATGTGAACCCCTTGGATTGATGTATGAGCCCTGACTTGCGTCGCCAATGGCTCAAGTGCCAAGACATATAAGAGGGGAGAGAGCGGGCAGCCCCGACGCGTTCTGTTTGTGATATCGAATGATGCATGGTATTTTGGCCGTGAGAGCATTGAACAGTGCCTTGGCCACACATCGCCTCCCCTCAGCTTGCATCATAATCCCCTTATCTAAACGTAGGGGTACCCCTTTAAATCCTACATCCCCTGATAGCCCTGATCTGGGTGAACAACATATCCAAAAATCACCCAGATCAGACCAGGGGTTCGGGAAATGTATGGAGGGAATAAAATGACCGACCGCACTGACTGAGACAGCCGAATGCGGTTCCATGCGAATGGGCCCTGCGGTCGGTCCTGGAATAAGGGAACAAACTGCACGAAAGCCTCTAGCTATAGAGGCTAGGGAGGGTTCGCCTGAATCCCCTCGTTCGGTTCTTTCTGTCTACCGAACGAGGGGCCGTTCGGTAGTTAGGAACCGAACGGACCGGGCTTGTGGAGGTTTCAGCGGTGTTCGCCTAGTCGAGTGTCCGATTTCAGTTCCAGACACTCGACGGCAAAACACTGCTGTTCGGGAGTTTTAAAATGGACGCCGCCACGTGTTCGTTTGTCGAATGGCGGCCACCCCCGAGAACAAAGGACGGCTACTTAACTTGTCAATTACCCGTTCGCAACAATGTTAGTTTATTCGAATGATTCTACCGAACAATCAGAGGAATAGAATTCTTTTAAACACATATAAAACCAGCAGATCACACGAATGCAGTTATTCACAAGACAGCCCAGTGCCATCCGCTACATCTACCGTAGCATTGTGTGGACCTGAATCTCTTTGTATGGTGTATAGCTTCTCATAGAAGGAAGCAACTTTGTTGCTTTTGGCTTCTGGTGTTATGAGTTTTTCATTTGTGTCTGATAAGAAGTGTCTGATTCTGGACCTGGCCTGCATGTCTTTCAGCGTGTTTGCTAACAATTTCCATGTTCTGTTACCCTGGGTGTATTGTGAGTGCTTTAGTTTTTTTCAGTAGGAAACTAGTGTGATGTAAATTTGCCTATTGGATTTTCTTTTGGGTTTGTAGTATTTGGTGTCTAATATCCTTGGTGGGGTGTGCTTGGTTTTGTATATTTAAGAAACAAAGCTTCCCGGTCCATTCCATGGAGTGGAAAGATCTCTTAATGTGAGCGGCTTGTTTTAGAAGTTGACCTCTCATGGCCGCTTTATGGGCCTGCCATAGTGTATCTACGGACACATCAGAAATGTCATTGGTGAGGAAGTATTGTGCTATTTCTGTCACCATGGTCAAGGAGAATGTAGGGTCCTGGAGGAGCGATTCATTAAATCGCCAAGGTGGTTTGTGCTTGAAAGCGTGTTTGTCTGCTAGTGTGCGGATACCTGGGGCGTGATCGGACCATTTGATGTTTCAGATCACGCAGTCCATGACCTGTGAGGTGTGTACCTTGAGTGTAGAATCTGTCTATTCTTGTGTAACAGTTGTGTATGGAGGAGTAATATGTGTAGGTTTTGTCTGAAGTTTTTTCGCCCTCTAGGTGCCGTATAGGTTATGGGTGTTGAAGAGGGCATTTAGTTGTTTAGCTAGTTTCTCCAATGTTTTGAGTCTCCCTGGAGTTTTTTCTGACGTGGAATCTAGTGTGGGGTCTTGAACACAATTGAAGTCACCCCCTAGAATGCGTACGCCCTGTTGCACCTTTTCTAATTTGGACAGGCCTTTGGCGATGAAGTCCCTCTGGTTGTCGTTAGGGGCATATATGTTGGCTATGGTATAGGTGATATCATTGATTCAGGTGACTATTATTAAAAAACGTCCCTGAGGGTCAGTGATTTTGCTGATAAGGGAACAGGAGAGTTGGTTACTGAGCAGCGTAGACATGCCTTTTGACTTGTTTTCGGATGTGGCGTGGATTTGATAGGGGAATTTTTTAACACTAAATCTGCAAGGGTCAGATTTGCAAAAGTGGGACTCTTGCAGGCACACTATGAAGCCTTGGAGTTTTTGAAGTTCCCTATATAGTGCGTGGCATTTCGATGGGAAGTTCAACCCCCTGACATTATGCGAACTATACTGTTTAGTCCGTGGTAGAGAGAACCTCACACCGGATGTTGTCACTGACCCCTCTCCCTGCACCCACCTCCTTGGAAACAAAGAAGAAATTAGAAAGAAAAGATGGGGGGAAAGATATTTGTGAAAAGACAGTAGCAGTAGAGAACTCCAACTGTGAGCAGTACGTAGCTGTGCTCCGTGGAGCTAGCCGGCTTCGCCTTACGGCAAAGGAGTTTCAGATTCAACTGTACTGGGTGTGACACCCAGTTCCCTGTGGGGGTCAAGGCGTACTCTGTAGGCCAATTGGTTTGATTAACCATACCCCTCACAGGTGGATCTATGTGTTTAACATTTACTGTAACATGCCCCAACCCATAGGCATGGATTGCTAACATACATTACTACCATCACTCAGGTGGGCTTGGGGCCGCTGTACTCTGGGCCTTGTCTTATCTACCTGCGTATGTATGGAGATGTTTGGATAGGGATGGGGGGAAGGGAGGCATGGTAAAGCCCGTAGCAGCTAGGTACAGGGGGGAAACATGATTTTTGACTGTAACTAAAGTGTAGCTCCAGTTTTCTAGTTAGAGAGTGTCGGCTTGATGTCTTTACTCCCCCCTGTGAGCCAAGGTCAGGCTCGTACCCCATCTATCTATGACCCCTGTTGAGATAAAAATAGAGGAAAAAAGGACATAGGGACTGGTGGGTGGCTAGTGTCCAGTGGCTTGTCTAAGGCTAAGGCTCTGATGATATCTAAACCTCCCACATTAAAGAGTACCGTATGCCAGGGGTGTGCTTGCCAGACAAAGTGGAGAATAGTTCATAGAACAGGAGTGAGTTCTCCAGGTCTGAGCCACTTCAGTGTGGGTTGTCTCTGTATGCGCTTGGGCCGAGTCTGCGTTTTTGTGTGTCATCGTAGCGATGACACTTGGGAGGGCTGGTAGCAAATGAACAGTGGCCAATTTTTAAGTATGTCTGTAGTGGTAACATAGTCCCTGGGGGTTTGTATCCTTCTCTGCGTGAGCTATATTTCTAATTGCCCTTGCGGGGGTTCTGCAATGTGTAGCAATGTTTTCCAGGCAGTTTCCCCATGTCTGGGCATCTCTGCTAGGTCTCAGATTCTGTGTTGTTCAATTAGTTCTTAAGTGACCCTTGACCTGAGGTTATGAGAGGGTGCAGAACGGTCAGGGGTGTCAGAGAATAGTGACTCATTTTTGGTAACTATTTACAGGTGACTGTCGCGGGGGTGTTTAGCGTTTCAGCTTCTTCCAGTCCGGTAAGTGTGGGTTGAGCTCCACTGAGGTTGTAGGCGTAACTGCCAGTTGGATGTCCCAAGTCTTTAGGAGCTCTTGGCCTTCTTCTAGGGTTAGTACGGAGGTTGTCTGACTATTGCGGGTGATCAGTAACCGGGTGGGGAACCTCAATCTGTATGGGATTTGGTGCTTTCTGAGTGCTTTTGTCACTGGATTAAAGTTCATCCTTGCTTGTAGCGTAGCCAGGGAGATGTCTGCGAAAATTTGCACCTCCTTATATACCTCTGCTAGGGAATTGGGGCTTCTACTTGCCCTAACTATTTCTTCTTTCATATAGTGGTAATTGGCCTGCAGGAGGACATCCATTGGGGCTGAAATTGGAGCTACGCGTGCTTTTGCCACCCTGTGGATGCAGTCCAGGAGGAGCATTGCGACTGGCACGTCTGGGCAAAGGACTTGAAAGATGCCTGTTGCAAAGGCCTGTAAGTCACTCACCACCACAGATTCTGGTATCCCCCTGAGTCTGAGGTTGTTTCGGCAGGATCTATCTTCAAGATCTGCAAGCTTGGAGGACAGGTGCCTTTCCAATTGTTGTACCTTAGCAGCTAGGGAGCTGTGGGAGGACCGCTGCTGGTTAAACTACACTTCCAGATGGGCTGTCCGGTCTCTGATATCGTGGATTTCTTTTTTCATTTCTGTTAGTGATGTCTGGAACTGCTTGGATTGGGCATCCAGTATTTTTTGCAGTACGGTTGGCGTGATGTAGCCTTTGCCATCTTGAGAGGGAGGAACAGGAGTCCTGGCTGTCTCCGGACTCAAGGTCGCAATCTTGGAGGCCTGCTTGGAGGCCTGCTTGTAACGTGGACTGCTTGTGCTGGTTTTTGGACGTGAAGAAAGACGCCCAGTCCACCTTTCCTTTTTTCCTTGTGGTGAGACATCGCTCCTCGTGGGAGCAATCGGGTTTTTTGCGGGTGGGTGTCGAGTTGGGCACTGCTTGTTTATCTGCCTGTCAACAAGCTGCGGTTTCACACGGCCATCATGGTTGGCGTTTGGCTCATCCCCCTCTCGACCAACTTGTCTTTTAGAGTGGGTTCTCTTCTGAAAATTAATTTAGGTTTAGGGGGCAGTAGACGTGCCAATACAGGATCTTGCAATTGTAAATTCCAGTGTTTAAAAACGCTTCTTGTTAAGTACTGTGTTTGAAAAAAGTCTGCATAGACTTAAACATCGACTATTGTGTTAATCACTGTGTTTGCTTAATAAAGCAGCAGTTTGAATTTACTTCACCAAGACTCCAGAGTGCTCTCTACTAGGCTCTCTACTATATTTTGGCTGGAGATTGTTCACCGGAGCACAAAAAGACTGGGAACATTGGGAACATCTAGTGCTGGGACCTGGAAATATATATATATATTTGTGTTCAGGGCATTAAAGCCGTAGAGTTAGTAACATAAAACAAACAGGGAGAGGGGAGCAGTCAGTTGTGGTGTGCCGGAACTGACGATGCGGTAAGCCTGAAATAAAGGAGGGCCTACCTTATGTAATGATAATAAAAGGAGGAGTGGTGGGTGGGGTAAATCGCCAGACCTGAGACAGTAGTGAGGAGGGGCTGGTGCTCCTTAAGAAGGGAAACCAAGCCCCTCCCACAACTTCAGGCCCAGCCTTCCATTTGTGTTCAGGGCATTAAAGCCGTAGAGTTAGTAACATAAAACAAACAGGGGGAGTTGAACAGTCAGTTGTGGTGTGCCGGAACTGACAATGCGGTAGCCCTGAAATAAAGTAAGGCAAAAAGATATAACCAATTTATTCAGCCTACAATACAACATAAGAATATCACATAATCATACTCTTGAATGCTAGGCGTACCTCTTGTACTGGTTGAGGTATGTTTCTGGTGTAAGTAGTGGACTTCCACCAGTCTAACATTTTAATGATGTGTGCTGGAATACTCCTCTTAGATGCTGTAGTAGCAGCTCCTATGCGGAATGAGTGACCCAAGTATTTTGCGCGGTTAAAGCCTAATCGTACTGTAGCAGAGCTCCCTGCACCCCGGCTGGGTACCTCTGCCAAAGGACCGCTTCCTAGCTGGAACAGGGAACAAATTGCAGCACTTCTGCCCACAGTTGCTGTAGCTGGACTGGGGCCCTGGAACCGCTCCTCCCTGGAGCCGAATGGGGAATTAGCTCTAGTCCTTACAAGGACTTTCCCCATTGAATCTCCTTTAAGCTGGAGCAAATATTCTTCCCTCCAATAACTGGATGACACACAGTTTGGAGTGTAAACAGGAACAGACTGAGCTGGGGCTTTATTGTTTATTATATACACATTTTTACCCAATGTTGCCACCCACATGGTTTTGTAGCACAGCCAATCAAATACACTATAATACAGTTAAAGGGACACTCCAGGCACCCAGACCACTTCTGCCCATTGGAGTGGTCTGGGTGCCAACTCCCACTACCCTTAACCCTGCAACTGTAATTATTGCAGTTTTCATAAACTGCAATAATTACCTTGCAGGGTTAACTCCTCCTCTAGTGGCTGTCTACTAGACAGCCACTAGAGGGCACTTCCTGCTTCATAGCACCTCCAGCGTCGCTCAATTCCCCATAGGAAAGCATTGAAAAGCATTGAAAATGCTTTCCTATGGAGAGCTCTAATGCGCATTAGGTCTCCTCAGCCGGCGGGCGGGATCAGTCTCCCCCGCCGGCTGACATGATGAAGGGGAGGAGTGGCGGCGACCCAAAATCACCGACGAGGGAGGGTGGGTGAGGCTGAGGGTGGTGAGGGGGGGTGAGGCTGGTGGTGGTGTAGGTGGTGAGGCTGAGGGTGATGGTGAG